AAGTAACATATAATTTTTTTCCCATATATGTTTACCTTTTAGAATGCTTAAAATGCTGAGTGTTTTTAAATCTCAGTTTCATATAACATATTTTAGTACAATAGCACTTGCTCAAGCTTGTCACCACACTATATGGCAACACTGTTATTTTAGATTATTTAAGACATGAAAACATAAAGAGTAAAGCTGAAGTGTGTGAGATGAGGGTAGAGGATTGTTGTTGCGTTTTTACCCAGATACAAACATATACGTGAGGGTTTGGAAAGTCTCTTTTATCTGTGACTGCAGGCAGATTATTTGGTATGTGAAACACAGAGCAGACAGCAGCTCCCTCTGTTAAGCTTTCCCCTCACATCGCTCCACAATGCCAGTTTGAGTGAGGCCGAGTTGGCTACAAAAAACCTAAGGAAGGCAAAAACAACCCCCCCAAAAAACCCTGCAGCTCCACTAATAACATGCACACATACTTTGTAAAACATGCATGCACATCTATGTAGACATATTCTCAAAAATATATTTGTGTTTTCACCACAGTTGTGCAGAAAGATTTTTTTACTGAGTGATGGAGAAAGAGGAAAAACGAGTTGGAGCTTAAAATATCTGGTGGTTTACACAAAAGAGAAAAGATGAGACCATTAAAAGTAACATCCTTTCATGCATGTTTTTATCAATAGCTACAGTATGTATTCAAATAACAGTACAGTCCAATCCGCTGGATGTGTTATTGTGTTACAGCTGGGAACAATGATGATTTAAAGGTGACATATCATGAAAATCTGACTTTTCCAGGTTTTAAGTGCTATAATCAGGTCCCAGGTACATCTACCAACCAAGGAAACGTGAAAAAGATTAACCCAGTAACTTTGTTTTGGTAAGCCTTTTTCTGTAAGCGTTTGAGAAAACGAGTGCGTCAGATTTCGCTCCCTTGGCGACGTGGCAAAGGGATCTCATTATATTATTACCGCCCCTTAATCTGTACGTTTCCACCCACGGTGCCATCATTTTGATTTCGCGACAACAGTGTACCAGCTCTAATGTCATGGTGAAAGTTTGAGCTAAGCACCCTACTGTTCTGTCTTTGGCTGCACAGATGAGCACAGAACACTATTTAGAGTCCCAGCCTCAGAGACAAGACAGCAGTGGATTTATTGATTTATTTACTGTATATTGCTGCTGCCAAACAGATCTAAAATAAACATGCGATTTATTTCCCAGCTGTTTACCTTCACAGAGTGAGCAGCAGCTCATTTGCATTTAAAGAGACAGGCCCGAAAAACAGCGTGTTTCTGCTTCCACTCAAAATAGGCATTTTCAAAATGTTATAATAAATGAAGTATTTTGAGCTGAAACTTCACAGACACATTCTGGGGACACCAGAGACTTATATTACATATTGTAAAAAGGGGCATAATATGTCTCCTTTAAGTAATTATGACTGCTACACTTGATACTGGCATATTTGCTCATTGTACTTGGCACAATTGCTCAAGCTCCAACTATTTTATACTGACTTTTTTGGTCATTCCACAAATGCTCAATTGGACTGATCTCCGGGTTTTTCTGGGCTGCAGCATGACATTGATTTTTCTTTGGTTTTAAACCATTCCATCTGTGACTTGAACTATGGATTGTGGTCCTGTAGCAAGATGAATTGTCTTTATAGTTGACACGGTTTTTACAGTTGCCCCAAAATTTATTTGTACACTTAAAAGATAAATTTCAGCAAATAAATGCTATACATTTTCTCAGGACTACCTTTATGTAAGTATTTTTCAGTTTTTAACCAGCTGATGGCGAGGTTTTAAATACAATACATGCACAATGTGATTTACATTGTTGTAAGATAGATAGATAGATAGATAGATCTTATCTTATCTTATCTAACGCACTGATATTCATAAATTTTTAAAGCTGGCTTAAGTGTTCAGATACTTTATGGGGATCAGTGTATTACAATTAGGGATGGGTATCGTTAAGGTTTTAACGGTATTACTACTCTTACCGATACTGCTTATCGATTCGGTACTTTAACGGTATTCTTATCGGTACTTTTTGTTTTATACATATATATATATTAGGGCTGCACGATATATCGAAATTATCGAAATATCGCAAATGTAAATATCGCAATATGCATATCGCAACGGCGTGCGATATCATTATCATTTTAATAATAGGCTACTTAAATCAAAACGTTGCAAAAGGTCAAAGTTTTAGTTCGTCGCATATAGCAGAGAATTGCTTGATGTTAAAAAGAGTTATTAAGTGCAATAAGTTGCAGAAAACAACTCTTTGCCGTCT